GTTGTTTCAGGAAAGCAGAAGGAATAGGACATCATCATGTTAAGTGAAAGACAGACATCACATTTTTGCTCTCATATGAAAGTAGATGGAAGCCCATAAGGGAAGACACGGGGAATAAGGAGGAGGGGAAGAAAGCGTAATGATGGCAGATATTATCAAAGTATACAACTACATGCATGCATGTAAATGTTACAATTGAAAGCACTATAAAAAGATGGTCCTTTTAAAAAATGATCCAGGTGTGTTCAATCTTCAGTTTAAGGGTCACATACCCCCCAGGATAACTATGAGTGAAGCCCAACACAAAGCTGTAAATGTACTTAAATCATTATAAGAATGGGGTGGGGAAGAACTGAAGAGATGGATTAGTGGTTAAGAGTTCATACTGTTCTTGCAGAGAACCTGAGTTTGGTTCCCATATCAGGCAGCTCCCAACATCCTATAACTCCAGCTCCAGGGGGACCCACCATCTCTGTACTCCAAGGGCACCTGCACACCTGTATACACACATACCCCCATACTTAATTTTTTTTTAATATAGCCGGGCGTGGTGGCGCATGCCTTTAATCCCAGCACCCTGGAGGCAGAGGCAGGCAGATCTCTGTGAGTTCAAGGCCAGCCTGGTCTACATAGTGAGTTCCAGGACAGCTGGGGCTACAGGGAGACCCTGTCTCAAAAAGATCAAAAAAAAAAAAAAAGTTCAATAGGGTATAGAAATTCAGCCCTGCTGAGCCCTGCCCAAAGTGTGTTTCTACATTTAAAAGTAATTTCCTCCAACTTTTTACTTAGAGAAGAGGGAGTTGCAATCTTCTTTGGCACATGATCTGTATAGAGCATGTATTTGACACTGCCACTGCTCTTGTCTATGACAGAAGGAAGACATAGATACCAGCTATGATGCTTGAGTCTCTTTGGCACACAGGGAACTTACTAGCTGTAAATACCCCTTGTGCGGTCCTTGTCCCTTAGCAACATTTTAGGAAAACAGTAAGCTCATGGCTTGGGATCAGACACCCCATGGTCAAAGCTGGGCTTAGCCATTCACCTGCTGTATGACCTTGAGCAAGTGATTTGCCCTTTGAGCTTGTCACAGAGTTCGACACCACAGGGAAAAGACCACCAGACTTAATTCATATTTTAATTAGCCAAATCTTTATTAGAGTTGCAGCCAGCTGACAGTCTCCAGAGGCCAAATAAGGGAGACTTCCCCAAAGCTGGGGGAGGGGGAATGGGGTCTTTTAAAGGCAGAAACCACACGCTGCTTCATTCCTGTGGTATTGGCAGTTGCAAGGACAGTGAGGTCACACTGACCCTTAAATGCAGCAATAAGCAAGTTTACAGACATTAAAACAAGCAATTGTTAGGCATTTTCTTAACAGATGTATAGAGACCTTGACAGTAAGGGGCTTTCTGATTATTATTATTTCATCATATTACCAAGAAAGACAGGATATTGTTTAGGTTATTGGATTAGTCACTTTTCTGTTGCTGTGATAGAAACACTGACCAAAGCAACTTATAAAAGGAAGAGTTTATTTAAGATTACAGTTCCAAAGGGGCAGGAGTCCATCATGGTGGGGAGGCTCAGCAGCAGGGGTGGCTGAAAGAGCAGAAGCTAAGCTCTCACATCTTCAAACAGGCACAGGAAGCAAGAGGGTGACTCCAGATCCCACAGGACTTAAGAACTGTCTAAACCTGCCCCCAGTACATGATTCCTCCAGCTTAGCCATACCTTCTAAGACCTTCCAAAACAGCGCCATCAAATGGGGACAAAAAAATATCCAAATACTTGGAGCCTATGTGGAACATTCTCATTCAAAACCACCTCATTTATTTTCCCTTGGGTGGGCAAGAAACATAGCTGCAATGTCTGGGTGGCAATATTCCTTTCTGTGGTCAGCTGTTTCTAAAAGGAAAACAAATTTCTGGGGGGAAGTGACTTACCGGAACTACATTCAGACCTTGAGCTGGCTGCTTTTCTGATTTTTAAAATCTAAGGTGACTGCTTTGTACAAAATGGAGTTGCTCTGGTCATTACAAGCTCAAATCCCTCCTTGGTAATAATGGCACAAGAATAGGACAATGGGGACTGGAGGAGTCAGCTAGCAGTGTCTCAGTTTGAATTTACCTGAAGCCAACCCTATCCAAGGTTTCCAGGGCAGCAATCCTAAAACAAGGTTTCAACTGCCAAGCATCTCTTGGGAAACAATTCCAGGAAACACCAGCAGGATAGTGAGGAATTGAAATTGGAAAAGAAAGCAGGAATTAAAGGCAGCTTGAAGGAAGCAACTGGACAGACAGTGGGGAATACATAGCTCAAAGTCACTGCAGCCGGAGTAAGGGAGCTGGGATATTTACCCACCATACACCCCTTTGGAGGGCAGTGTTTCTCTGGAGCCATAGCCTGCACAGCACGAGTCAGGCATGGGGACAGGGACAAGGATCTGTGACCCCGACCACAGTCACAAGCACAGGCGGTGTGAACAGTTATAGGTGCACAGAGTGCAGTTCTTTCCTACTCCACTCCCAACACATGCACAAACATTTACTTCCACACATAAGTACATACATAAACATTTACACACACATATGCCTTCACGTGCATACACACAGAGACCCTGAGACATGCACATGCAGTCACTTAAACACATACACAGTCACAAGTGTGCGTATACTGTAGCAAACCAGCAGGTGCACAAACAAAATTCTTAGAGAATCAACTCTTTAGAGCATGATGTCTCCGAACTGACCAGCAGAGGGAGCTTCTTACACACGTAAGAGAGGAAGGAGGCCCCCACCAGTCGCAGCCCCATTGTGTTTAAAGAATTGTTCATTGACCCATTATTATCTCAGCTCCAGTCTGTGCTGCTAGGTGGTCTGACAAGTTGCACATCTCTGGGAGACAAATTATGCATACCTGTAACCAACTACTTAAACCTAAACCGCATGCCAGTACCCAGAAGGCAAACTTGTGGGGTGAGTGGTGGGTGGGGTCACTGGATCTCTGTTCTTCCCAATGTAACCTCATTAAATAATTTTTTTCTGCTTTTCACTATTAAAAAAGAAAAAGAATTGCTCATGCCGACCCTGCCAGGTAGTGTACACTTACAATTTCAACATTTGGTAGATGGAGACAAGAGACCCTAGGGTTCACCCTCAGGGCTACATAGAGAGTTGGAAGTCAGCCTGGGTAACATGAGACCCCTGTATCAAGTAAGAGGAGGTAAAGGGTAGGGTAAAAATAGGGTGGGAAGGGGAGGTGAAGCGAGGGAAAGAGGTGGAGAAGAAGAGGGGAGAGGGAGGGTTACCAGAGTTAGATCTCACTGGTTGTTTTGTCATTTTATATTAGGCTCAGTGTGGTGATGCTGCGGCTCCCACTCCCATCCCACCGGGACGGAGAGCCTCCAAGGGCACATCAGTGTGTATGAGTGTATTGCCTGCGTGTATGAAAGTGCATGAACGTGCAGTGCACGCGGAGGTCAGAAGAGTGCATCAGATTACCCTGAAACAGGAGTTGTGGGGATGGTTGTTACCATGTGGGTGCTGGGAATCGAACCCGGGCCCTCTGCAAGAGCAGGCACTGCTCTTACCGCTGAGCCAACTCTCCAGTTCCTACTTGTGGCTCCAGTACCAGGACCCAGGAACACGTTTACCGCTCAGCTGAGGAGTACAGTAGACAAAGCAACGCCAGCTGACGATCTCCACATACCACTAGGGGCGCCCCAGGACACCAGGCTTCGCTGCCAGACTCCAACCCAGCCTCTCCAGGCAACCGCTAACTCCTGCAGCTAGACAGCTGTTTAAAGATTCAAATCCATCCCCAAAGCCCGAAGGATGCGGTAGAAAAGGTCTCAGGATCCGTGCTGAGGCCTCAAGGTAAGGATATTTGTCTTGGGACTTTGAACGAGTTGCTTCCCTTGTGGTCTGAGTTTTAGCAAGTTTTAAAAAGTCTTCTACACTGGCGGGGCGGGGGAGGAGGGGGGGCGCGTTCAGACTACCTGGGAAGAGAGTGGCGCCAGATCCCGCAAAGTCGACTCAGAAGTTAGGAGGATCCCGAACTCAAGGCCAGCCTGGGCCACACAGAGACGTACCAGGTGTAGAGCCCTTACTTACCCCTGCCAAGCCTTGGGGAAACTTCGCGGAAAGTGTTGGGTTTTATTTGAAGCTCATTACTATGTTAACTGTCGAGAGCCCCAAGACTTAGTTTCCACAGCTAGAACCACCCCAATTCAGATCCTTCCTGCCTGAACCTAACTTCCTCTTCTCTAGGGACCCCACCACACTACCCCTCCCCAAGTTCCCTTGCTACCAACCCAGATCCAACCAAGTCCTTCCTGTCCCTGCCCCGGTTCACACCTTCCAAGATTCCCTACTGTCCACATTAAAGCCTGTTTGTTCCCTGTCCACTACCCTTCCTCCATTCTGCTTCCACATGCAAACACCTCTGCCAGCTGTGAGTTTCTAGAACACATCATGCTCTCCCCCAACTCAGGCATGTGCAAAAGCTGGGGCACTCTTTCCTCCCAGTCACTCAATTTCCACTCCTACTGTGGTAGTTCCTCTGACCTCCACTCCGTACCATCGGTCTCTCATATGGAGTAACTGCCACACTGCAAATAACAATTTACGCATAGAATTATTTGTTCAACATGTTCCCCTCCCTGACCAGAGTAGGAACCGGGCTTGTCTGCGCCCCTGGCCCCATGCCAGTAGACACTGAATTAATACGCATTCTAGTGTCTAAAT